AAAAAAAGCTTATAAGGTCTATTGGAATTTCCTGGACCGTAAAGTGTCAAGCTTTACTGGCGCATAATTACTCAGAATTTAAAAAAATGCCATTTGTAACCTTAGTAGTACATCTAGGAAGATTGGAAATTGATTTCAATGGGCCTTAAGTGCCGAGGCCCTCATTTTCTGCGGCTGCATGTTGCGCACACTAATATAATACCCTATACCCTTTTTAATAATGGGGAAGAGTTGGTCTGCGTGGGGAATTCCCCTTCTCTGTTTATTTCACTGACCAATTACCTGGATCAGGCATATTCCTCAGCAGACAGTCAATGTTTTTCTAGGAACAAAAGAGCAACAGTTAGTCCTTTAGCTTCTAGTAGTTTATTAACAAATAAAAACATAAGTTTGTAATCCAAACACTTCAGGCAAGCTTACCTCCAAAAGCTTGTTTTTAAGCCATCCATACCAGTTGCTATGTTCAACATCGCCCCTACCATTTCCGGGAACGATTACAACCCGTTCTTTAGTCATGTGGATTAGGAATTTCCACTGAAAATCATGTAAAACGTCGTAAAACATAACATTGACAAGGCGTCTCTCTCTCGCCGGTGATTTCTACCGAGTGGGAGTGGGACTGTTTTACTTTGATCTCATACCCAGTTCTCCGGCGGTAAATCTTTATTAACTCATTCCTTATAGAACGCAATGATCCTAGGGCAATATCGAAAAGGGTGCTTCATTTTTTTAGTATTTCCTTCCCGAAAATAATCTTTAATGCATTACGTCACCTCCAAAAATAGCATTTTCATTTTCCTGTATCCCCCCGCAAAAAAGGCCAATATTGCCGCCCGCCATGATTGCTCTTCAGTCCCCCTTCTTTTGGGAAGATGCCAGTTGTCAAGGACGCCGCGACTTATTTTAAATTTTTTCTGGTATAAACGGTTAACGTTTTAGCAGTTTTCTAGATTAATTGTTTGGATAAACATAAAGGCATTAATCAAATCTCCCTTTTTAACCTTCTTTTTATATTTAAAATGTTAATTCTTATGAAAATAAAAGTGGATTAATTTACGGATCAATACAATTATTGAAGGAAACGAAGTATGTAAAGCGGTGAAGCTGCAATAATTCTTAAACATTTCCAACCTTAATAATTTATAGCTTAACACTGTCCCGGGGGGGTACTCCGGATTTCAGGTGACGGGGATGATCGAATAGAGGCAAAAATCAAAACCCAAAAAAATCTCTAGGGCTTCCAACAAACCCCCCTCAAAAAACCCTAGAATTTGCGAGCATTTAAAATTTCCAGAAAGCATTAAATGATATAACATGTACTTTATTTGGCTGAACTTTATTTGCAGAACTAAGTGGTCAGGATAAGCGGGCACTACCAAAAATCGTCAGATTGCTTTGAATACCCAAAAATCCCTACTTAAATCAAGCCACCCGAAAAAATACTTGCCAAGTTTTCTTGCCCAAAAAAATCCCGGAATCAAAAATTTCAAACCTCAAAATATTCTTCGATCATCCGGCCCGTCACTTGAAATCCGGAGTACCCCCTGGGAACTCGCTGTGGTTGATACTTCAAATCTTTTGTTACGAATATAAGCTCCTTGCTGTTAAGCGAGTTAAATATAGCCGATAAACTACATAACAAACTTGTACAAGGTCACCCAAATCAAGAATAACTAGAATAATTGTCCCCATACCATATTAATGTATTTATACTACTACATGAGAAATTTCTGCAATTTGATTGGCTTAGAGCAGTGGTATTTCAGCTTAATTTCAAATACCTACATGTGAAAATTACAAACCTTCTGAAGGTAGTAGTATAAACAAATAATAGCATGATTTGTACGTGATATTTGGCATAAATAGCACTAGTGATATTTGAAAATTGTTTCAAATTTCACTCGCCTAACGGCTCGTGAAATTACGTATACTAATTTCGAAATATCACTCGTGGTATTTATGCCAAATATCACTACAAATCATGCTATTACCTATACATATTACAGGTTAATTTTGATTTCAGGTTAATTTTGATTTTACCTAGATTGATTCTAACTTCCTTTGTCTCCTAGGCCTCATTGACAATTAACCTAGGTTAAAAAGTTTAAACCCGAAATCAAATTTAACCTGTAATATATATGTACTGTTTATACTATGTGTATCATATATTTTTCTTTTTAAGAGAACAGTGAAAATATATATATAAAAAACAAATGCCTCACCTCTGGGCAGACCTTTGATGACAAAGGCCCCAGCGCAGGGAGTGGCACCCTGATAAAAGCCAAAGGAACAAAGATGTGCACAACAGACCTTTTAAGCTTGTATGTTTTGTTTTCTCATTTCAGACCACATGATGATACACCTAGAGAACTGTTTCTTTCAGATGTCATCTTAAGCATGTGCATATGTATGTATAATTTATGAAAAGACAAAAGGCAAATTCCGTGGAGAACATCATATGGTCTGAATTGGGGTAAAAAAAGCTTATAAGGTCTATTGGAATTTCCTGGACCGTAAAGTGTCAAGCTTTACTGGCGCATAATTACTCAGAATTTAAAAAAATGCCATTTGTAACCTTAGTAGTGCATCTAGGAAGATTGGAAATTGATTTCAATGGGCCTTAAGTGCCGAGGCCCTCATTTTCTGCGGCTGCATGTTGCGCACACTAATATAATACCCTATACCCTTTTTACTAATGGGGAAGAGTTGGTCTGCGTGGGGAATTCCCCTTCTCTGTTTATTTCACTGACCAATTACCTGGATCAGGCATATTCCTCAGCAGACAGTCAATGTTTTTCTAGGAACAAAAGAGCAACAGTTAGTCCTTTAGCTTCTAGTAGTTTATTAACAAATAAAAACATAAGTTTGTAATCCAAACACTTCAGGCAAGCTTACCTCCAAAAGTTTGTTTTTAAGCCATCCATACCAGTTGCTATGTTCAACATCGCCCCTACCATTTCCGGGAACGATTACAACCCGTTCTTTAGTCATGTGGATTAGGAATTTCCACTGAAAATCATGTAAAACGTCGTAAAACATAACATTGACAAGGCGTCTCTCTCTCGCCGGTGATTTCTACCGAGTGGGAGTGGGACTGTTTTACTTTGATCTCATACCCAGTTCTCCGGCGGTAAATCTTTATTAACTCATTCCTTATAGAACGCAATGATCCTAGGGCAATATCGAAAAGGGTGCTTCATTTTTTTAGTATTTCCTTCCCGAAAATAATCTTTAATGCATTACGTCACCTCCAAAAATAGCATTTTCATTTTCCTGTATCCCCCCGCAAAAAAGGCCAATATTGCCGCCCGCCATGATTGCTCTTCAGTCCCCCTTCTTTTGGGAAGATGCCAGTTGTCAAGGACGCCGCGACTTATTTTAAATTTTTTCTGGTATAAACGGTTAACGTTTTAGCAGTTTTCTAGATTAATTGTTTGGATAAACATAAAGGCATTAATCAAATCTCCCTTTTTAACCTTCTTTTTATATTTAAAATGTTAATTCTTATGAAAATAAAAGTGGATTAATTTACGGATCAATACAATTATTGAAGGAAACGAAGTATGTAAAGCGGTGAAGCTGCAATAATTCTTAAACATTTCCAACCTTAATAATTTATAGCTTAACACTGTCCCGGGGGGGTACTCCGGATTTCAGGTGACGGGGATGATCGAATAGAGGCAAAAATCAAAACCCAAAAAAATCTCTAGGGCTTCCAACAAACCCCCCTCAAAAAACCCTAGAATTTGCGAGCATTTAAAATTTCCAGAAAGCATTAAATGATATAACATGTACTTTATTTGGCTGAACTTTATTTGCAGAACTAAGTGGTCAGGATAAGCGGGCACTACCAAAAATCGTCAGATTGCTTTGAATACCCAAAAATCCCTACTTAAATCAAGCCACCCGAAAAAATACTTGCCAAGTTTTCTTGCCCAAAAAAATCCCGGAATCAAAAATTTCAAACCTCAAAATATTCTTCGATCATCCGGCCCGTCACTTGAAATCCGGAGTACCCCCTGGGAACTCGCTGTGGTTGATACTTCAAATCTTTTGTTACGAATATAAGCTCCTTGCTGTTAAGCGAGTTAAATATAGCCGATAAACTACATAACAAACTTGTACAAGGTCACCCAAATCAAGAATAACTAGAATAATTGTTTTCAATAAAATATCGAAATTGTTTGGAAATCTGAGTTTAAGGAAAATTCTGATATGGGGGGGAATATATGAACTAATTATGGTAAGCCACTTATTTTAAAAATATCGCACACTTGCATAAAATATTTCGTTTGAAGTTCATTTTTTGTGTGTGAAATTTTTACATTACTTATATCTGAGAATGCTGCGGAGAATACAGAAATTTTATTTTCGGGACAAACATAGAAATAGCGAAAGACAATGACCAAGTCCTGGCCACTTTTAGATTATGATTTCATGCAAACACTTTAACAGTTAAACACAATATTTTTTCGCCGTAATTGATGATGCAGGATAAAGAACAAAGCTTTCATTCAATGGACTTAGTTAATTATTCTGATTTGGATCTTGAAAAGTACGGGAATATAACGACCCAAAACAATTAAGATTTTTACGACTTGGTCAGCATCGATACTTTTTCCCTTTGCTCTTCTTTCGTTTATCTTTCACGGACGAGAGCAAGTCTAAAAACTGTGTTTGAACATGTTCGTTGAAAAAATCTTGTTCTTTATCTTTCGTTTTAAACGTTTTAGCTTTAGACTTCACTTCTCCCTCTAAGTTTAATTGAGCATCTTCAAATTTCTGCATCGCCTCTTGAAAATCTCGATAGCTTCTGCTTTTTACAGCAGCTTCGGAAGTTTTCATCTTGTGCTTTTTGCTACGTTTATCCTCTTTCAGATCTATAACTTTTCCGTTATCGATTATAATAACGCCGTCCTCAATTTTTATTTCTGATACGCCCTTGGAAATCTCTCTTTCCTTGCCCTGCATTTGGCTTTCAATAGCTGTTTTCTTTGGTCTTTCGATTACAGGGCCGACGCTTTCCGCGCGCAGTCGACGTGTACTTTCTTTCGGCGCAGACGAGGGCTTCGGCCTCGAAGGTATGTGTGACTGTGTAGGCCGACTGACAAGTGGCAGCGATTGAGCTTGGACCATAATTGATGACAACACAGGAATTTCAACGCGAAGAAAATCGTTCATCGGAGTACTTGGACAACTGTGTAATCGTTCACGAAAGAGTCGACTCCGAGGTTTTATTTCCCAACTTGCTTCGCCATCTGCACTCTTAGAACCACGACATGGTGTCTGCAAAATCTTCGTTCCCCATCTCGTATTACTTGAAGAATCCAAACAAGGAGAACTCCTCCACTTTCCGGTTCTGGAATCTGGCTTTTCGGATAAAATGTGATCCTTAGTTTCAGCGCCAATGGTGTCCTTAAGGTCATATTCACTCACAATCCCGTAAGGAAATACAGATCTTTGTCGCCCGTAGGGTAAATTTTCTGAGCTCGACCTTCTGGACCGGCCAATATCTTCTTGATCGGAATTAACAGTCTGGTTGGAAGTGTCTGAGGCGTTTGCCGGGCTGTAATGTGTTGAATAGAAGTTCCAATTCCTTGTTTTACTCGAAGAACGTGCCATGACTTTCTGGTTCTATCCGCAGAGATCGGACTTGAGTTTTTATAACACACAGAGGCAGAGAGCTTTTGTTATGGTTCCTTCTTTCCTGCAAATCATTCTTAACTGCTGCGATTCAAGCGCACGTCTTAATACTGTACACAAATTGTTTAACCAACCGCCTACCGATTTTCAGTTGAAAGATAAAACCCAACAGCTCAAAAACCGCTAGAAGCCACTTTGTAGCACAGTGGATGCACCTAAAATTGCATACGACGTCACCGAGTTTTCATAAGCCAGCAAGTCTCCAATCGACAACTACTTAAAAGAAAGGTAGAAAGCAACATATCTATTAGATATAACAGGTGGATAATTTATTCATCGCCGCTTTACTTTAATTCGTCTCAAGTTTCAAAATCCGTCGAGGACTTTCTAACTAAAAAGAAAGAAGATAAAAGAAACTAAAGATCTATAGTACCCTGTGCTGTAACTGTTCCAAATAATCAACACATCAAATTCGAATACAAATTTCCAAATTAAGACAATCTCAACTATGCGACTCGATTTAATATTCACAGTGTAAGCTCCTATTGACGGGTGAGGATTGTGTGAGGCAGTGATATTCATTGCAATAACTTAGCGTATAAAGCAACCAATTAGTAAGAAACGTTTCAGCCATGATTGCGATTAGAGAAGGAAAACATCAAGAACCATGCGATAGAGGTATTTAGGGACCTCTTGTGGTGGATACCGGTTAATATTTCATAACTCAAGTAGCAAGTCACATATACTGTGCAATAATGACACGTACACTAAGATTATTAATCTTTCTTCAGCTTATATCAGTTTACGTACGTTTCAAATAAAGGAAAAAAGCTTAACTTTCATACAGCTAGGATTGCGACTCTTTCTGACTTTTACCATCGCTAATTCATTTTTTCAATATAATTATTTTTTTACACTCCTGTAAAAGAGCACGATAATATTTGACTATGTTATTTGTACATTCACACCAAAACAACAAAAAGACAAAATGAACTTTTCAAATATCTTCAATTTGAAATTTTACTGACGTTTAATTGAGACGTTAAAATAATACAACCTTATCCGAGACGTTTTACAGGTTAAGGTTTTTTTCAGATACTACAGGGTTGGGCTAGCTTTTACAATTATCTCGTATCCTTACTTACAAGGAACTCTGTGAAATATGACCAAACTCTTTTCCGCTCTTTAAAAATTAAAATTCCTGTTTTAACCCTAACAGTTATTTTGATAAACAGATATATTTAATTAAATACCTAAAACATTGAGGCAAATTTCTCTAGTTTGACTGTCGCACCTTGGACTTGCTATCGAAAACTAGTTATGGTGCGTCTCGTTCTTTCTCTTATCTAAAGAAAATAGGCATAATTGAAATTTCGAAAAAACATTTTCCAGCTACACGGGGTACTCTATATAATACCTGTTAGTAATTCATAATATATTATCTCGCTTTTGAGTAAACACCGGGATATCCTACAAATAAGCTTTTTGCTCAGCCTCGTTTCCAGCTGAGCGTCCTCCAACGTCACTCGATCCTCGTATGACGTTGGATAACGTAAGATAACGAAAGAAAACCTGAGAACGAGGGTGCCTTTCAGCTGATATGACGTGTCGCATATGTGGAGGTGGATTCAATACCACGCAATGTAATATCTATCACAGGTCCCTTGTGGTACACAGTTCCATTGCTTTTCAAAACTACGGTTAGTTTCATTTTAAAGGTTCTTTATTGTTTTATGATGAATCTCTTGAAGAACTGCACGACACTCCCGAAAACTTTTCCTCTCGTTCCCACAAGAATTAGACACCACGATACGTGAAGAAAATTACCACGTCGTGGGTAGTAATTCTCGATGTGAAGCGTCTCTCATTTACCGTGTACCTCGAATCTTCGTCCCATATTGCGCGTGCTGAGTTGAAGAAACAAGTGTTTCCCGACCGCTGGTCATGGGGAACGAAGACGCTGGCTACGAGGGTGGTCTACCACTTTCCATAACGACATGCCACCCTGAAAAATGAAGAAAACTTCATCGACGAGTCTCTAATCCAATGGCTTATTCCTGCTCTGCTGCAATCTTCTGAGCCTTAATCCTTGTCAGAATAATCAAAGCTCTTTTCTTAACGTTTAAATTTTCGTGAGTCGTGAGATCATCCAGCGCCTGATTGAGTCCGGCTATTTCTAAGTCCCGANCTCGAATCTTCGTCCCGTATTGCGCATGCTGAGTTGAAGAAACAAGTGTTTCCAGACCGCTGGTCATGGGCAACGAAGACGCTGACTACTAGAGTGGTCTACCACTTTCCATAACGACATGCCACCATGAAAAATGAAGAAAACTTCATCGACGAGTCTCTAATCCAATGGCTTATTCCTGCTCTGCTGCAATCTTCTGAGCCTTAATCCTTGTCAGAATAATCAAAGCTCTTTTCTTAACGTTTAAATTTTCGTGAGTCGTGAGATCATCCAGCGCCTGATTGAGTCCGGCTATTTCTAAGTCCCGAAGGAAATAATCTGCAAAGAAAAGCATTTGTAAGTATCCACCTGTATTAGTGTAACACCTAAAATCTTTTTCTCGAAAGCGCAGCTCCTCATTGGCTACTTCGATGTCACATGATAACTAAAGAGGAAAGTGGTCAACAACTACGCACATGACGTCAAAAGGTACCAGTGAAATAACCGCCAATATTAACCTCTAATTTTTTTTCAGACCCCTTCCTTACAACAATCTATGACTGATCTCTCAGATAACTGTTTAGTTTTGTTTCTCAACAATTTCTGAACAAAACTCGCTGTTTTCCTCAGATAAGTCATTTAATGTTCATTTTGCGTGGTCGAATTGAACTACAGCTACATGTGCAGGCAGAATGGGATACATAATTGAATATCCAGTCCTACCATTAGAAAATACGATAAATCCTCGGAAGGCCTTCGGTAATGTTCGGAATTAATGGCAACAACAAGGACTACCCCACCGACGCTAAACAAAAACTCGATACTTTGTTTCCTTTTCGGTGTAAAAGAAGAGAAAATAAAGCAACAGATAAACAGAACAAACCTCTGAGCGAAAATGATTCCAAGACGGCCATCGCATTGTAACAGGTCTGGGGATTGACGCCTTGTTTTTTAATAATCTTAATGAGTGTTTGAATGATTCCACTTTCTCTGAATTTAGGATAGAAGTCGGCTGTTAAAAAAATAAACAAAGCAAAATCATAGCGATAACCATATCATTATCATAGCAAACATATAGTACGTTCTAGTACCCAGGCGTACTCCTTCTTTCACAGACGAGCGCCAAGCGTACGCAAGGGCTTGGGTATAAGACTCGTGTCTACTGCACCGTAGTCTTAAGTCACAAATTCGCGCTAAAACAAGTAAGAGTGGGAACGAGTTGTAATCTAAGTTTTCTAGTGGAGTTTCTACTCGTTAACGATCGAGGGCGATAGTTACGTTCATACGTAACTAAGTGGCACGTGTTGCGATGGAGTTTTAAACTGGAGTTTTTAATTTCTTTTAGGGCTGAGCTTGATTAGACAGGAGTCAGACTAGTTTTTAATACTTTCGTTTGAACTGGTGCAGAAGCCTATTACCCGCCCCTGACTGGTGGTAGAGTACGGCGTGAACTTTTCATATATTTTATTCAGGAATTGGTCCATTCCTTGGCCTGCGAACATGTCCTCCCTTAAATTTTTCTTTAAGTCTCTCTCCCAAGAAAGTTCTTCCCCTCCCTTCAAAATAAACGCCTGATAGCATGTCATAAATTCCTTGGGATTTCTTTCTTGTGAGGGTCGTCCAATACTCAGAAAAATTTATACGTGGCATTGCATTGTATTGTCTTCACATTACTACATTGTAAAAAAGCATAACAATGAAGAACGAAGCAAAAGAGAAAACAAAGAGAAATTTAACAAAGCCATGCATAAAATTGTCGGAGTATTGGACAAGTATGTTTTTTCTTTTTTTTCACAAATACAGTTACTTCCACAGCCTTGTACTTCCGGCTCCACACATCACATTCACACACACACACACACACAAACAAATGGAACTACAAATTCAACCTTTAACTGTGGACGAAATTATTGTCAAAGCTATCAAGGCTTCATTCTGCATGACGTCATGTTCCGACGATACCATGGCAACGATGGGCGCCAGTCCTCCGCATTTTATAATTTGTTCTGCTACTTCTGCAGGTGACAACGAAGAGTAATGCGTCAGCATACAAACAAGATATTAATCATTTAAATCTGATGATAATATTAATGATTTCTCATAAACGGTAAAACATAAACGGTATAAACATTCTGCGTTTACTAAACAATCAGGAAATACCCTATACTAGTCTACGTAAAATAAGACGAAGTAGATCAAAAAGCCATTGGAAAATAGTCATTCTTTTTTTTTTGGCATGTCTGCTTCCATGAACACCCGCTTCCCCACCCTCACGAAACTTATTTTCGCTCTGTACTACAAATCTGTCACTAACCTGCAGTTTTTGACTCCTTGACAATCAATGCTAACATTCTGCTAGCCTCAGCTTTAACTCCTTCATGACCGCTGGACTCACAGCACCGAACTAACGTCTTTATGTGTTCGTTACTCGCAGCAATCCTGTTGGCTACAGCAGCTATGAGGTAATACAGTAAAAATGATTACTGGGAAGCAAGACCTTGATTTCTGCACACGTTAACGAGGATGTCACCCCCCCCCCCCCCCCCACCCCCCCCCCCCCCCGCCCCCACACCCCACACCGCCCACACCACAGCTACCACCAAANACTTGGATCTTAAATGTAAAAAGAGCTTTCTGGATACAAGAAGATTACCAGGACATCGGCAAAACCGGGATCAAAAAATTGAGAAACAGATTGAGCAACCTCTTTATCACACAACTCACTGCCTTAAATATGGTCACAATCATTCCTTCTTTAAAAGGTTGAGTGTATCAGTCATCATATATGAGGTGGTATATCAGGTACTGCTAAGGTTATAAAGTGTAAACTTACTTTGACCCATCAGGAGCATGCGCAGTGTACCAAGGACTTTGAACTGAACAAAGGGAGACTGGGTGGACAAAAGAGGAAGAATGACATCCAAACATCCACTCTCTACAAGCTTTACCTTGTTGACAGCTAAAAAAATTTAAAATCTGGAGTGAGATCAAAATTACTCTGGAGTGAATTCAAAATTAGCGACCTGAAAACGTGGTGCAAATTTTACTTTCGAGTTCTCTACAAGCTTCACCTTGTTGACAGCTACAAAAATAAAAAGCCTTTAGTGAAGTCAAAATTAGTCTTGAGTTAATTCAAAGTTAGAGCCTTTTATGTTGTGCAAATTTCACTTTCGAGTAGTCCATGTGATTATTACTAAGCTCATGTGACTGTGTGACTAGTAGATGTACATAAGATGAACAGCTGCTTGAGCGCAAAAAATCTTGTTGCCAGTGCTTCTACTCTTTCAGCTCACGACAAGAGACACTGGAAATGAGGCTGATCATGTGTCAAACGTCCAACCCATTGATGACAACCAAACCAGTGCCAAAAGCACATTAAACCTTATGAAGCTAATGTCACTTTTTGTGTACTTTTATCAGCAACATGGCCAACTCACCTGGCATGGAAAGATTCTTCAGTGCACTAAAAACGGCCTGTTGATGTCTACCAGGGTTCTGAGGACAGAGACAAAAATATTACTATTGTTGTCATTTCATTAGCATCCGAATTTGTGTGGGAAAAAATTCATTTTATATTGCCTTCAGCAGTGCAATGTTCAAAGTGGCAAAAGAGATGTGGAGTTTAATAAATACGGCTTCTCTTGTGCCTCCTCCTGGAATCTCCTGGAATCCTCCTGGAATCCTCCTGGAATCAAAGATCACAGATAATAGTGCCACGCTCTTTCAACATTTGGAGTTCATTTTCTTTTGCAGTCCAGGAAAGGAATGAACACAAAAAGAAAGACAACAATTCAAAATAAGATCAATATACCACAGCTGTTTAATATTCCATCCCTGTTACCTCACTGTTTGAAGTTCGTGCAAGTAGTTGCAGCAAATATTTATGAGCTCCCTGCTCCACAAGCTTGATACAGTTTTCATCTATGGACAGACAAGAGTAGAACTTAGTATGTCAAAATAACAAAACAGAGGCCCTCTTAAGGGGAGAGGGGTAGGTTTGTCCCTCATCTGAATTTCAAAACTTGTCATTTTGAGTATGTCTGTGTTGATATAATTTTAGGGGGTGGCCATTAATTATTAGGGAGAGAGCTGGCAAATTTCTTGGGCACTGTTTTGTGGAGGGTCAAATTTCCTTTCACCCTGTTTGTATATGTCTTCACCGCTGTCCCAGTTTCAACCCTATTATCTTTGTGTCATTTATCACCATTTCAAAATAATGTCTTTTGATGCCCTTTCAAGGCTATGCTGTTTGTCCAAATTTTACCCTAACAGGGCTTCAACATTCCCTGTTGGATAGAAAACCCCCAGATACACTTTATCTATGATGACATCACCTGAATGATAACGGTGGTATAAGTTTGCTTCTTACCTGATCTACCAAAGTTTCCGAGAGCCAGACAACCAGAAATCTCAAGATGTTGATCTCCAGATGACAACCAAGATAAACATGTTTTTAAAACAGGACCATTGCCTTCACTGAACAACATTTTCATGCTTTCATCTGCATTGAAGAACAAAATACAAAATAATATTATTTGTTACAGGTCAAAATTAAGTTCAGGTTAATATTTTTTAACCTAGTTTGTTTCTCAATTTGCTCTGTCTCTTAGACTTAATAATTCATTAGTAAGGACTACGGGACAGAGGAAATTGAGAGGCCACCTAGTATAAATAATTTCAACCTGGATTTAATTTTTACCTGTAAGATAATTTGTTCTTTGAAAAGCCATTCAAAAACTGTTTTTCTCAAGGAGTCGTGTTAGGAAAAGGGAGAGTTGCAAATCACAGTCAGACATTGGACAAGTCCCTTTAAAATCTGCAAACATCCAGCAAAATCTTACATGCAGTCAAACATAATAAACAGACAGATCAAATGTGAATGACTATCATTTTGGAGCTGAAGACTAACCTGGTACTTAAAGGAACTGAAATTCAATACATGGTACATCTAACAACTTGTCCGGTTTGTCTGATTAAATGAATTCATTGCTAAATTTCGTTTGACATACATGTATGTCCTTTCTAAAAGACAAAGTTATTATTTGCAGTCCTGGCAGAGGGAGGCTTACAGATGGGAGGTACAACAGAATTTAAGAATACAAACAATCTTATAACCTTCAATAAGTAGCATTACAATGAAGTCAGCCGATGACTGCACTCTTTGCTGTAAATATTCATCCTTTTCATTTTGCAATGAAGATACAACATCTGCCAGATGTTCAGCAAACCCATGCTGAGCAAGTGCTTTCTTCACATTATCTGATGAGAAAAAAAAAATTTTCACAAAAGAATCAGTCAGCATTATGATGTTCCATGGAAGGTTTGATCAGTGGAAATTTGGGAAGTTTACTGAAATACCCATTTTAAAAACATTTTTAGCTACCAATAGTTTTTGCTCTTGTTACCAGTACTTTTAATTTCAGTCAGCCCTCTCTAAGAAGGATACTTTTACGTGTCTGTCAAAGAGTGATGTTCGTCTTATAGATAGTCAACTAAAAGGGGTAAAGAAAACCAGGGGCCAACTCTGGTTGTTTGTTTTACCAAGGCGTCCATCTTATAGAAATGTCTATTACAAGACAGTTGCCTGAACTTACTCTCGCACAAAAAAATCACTAATTCAATCTTGCTTGTGGGGTTAACATTTAGCTGCTCACTCAGGTCTGTTTTTCCCTCCCAAAGAGAGTTGCAACAAAAAAAAACACGTATTTACCATCAACAATAATAGAGGACAGAATCTCAAACACCAAGTCAATCAGTTCATTGTCATCTGATTCCTGTGCAACCTTCTTTAAAATGGCCACACCTTCACTCTCCAAAAAACTTGCTTTTCCCTTATCTGTGAAGGCAGGCAAATCCTCTACTCAGCAACAACAACAACAATTTTTATTTGCACTCACTTTTGCGTAAAAATAAATTACAAAAATGAAAATATTGAAAGTAAAGTTAGAGTACTGGCTGCCTAGAACAACCATAGTTGCTAGTGGAGCCAGCAGCTACTTGACATCAGCATTAAATAGAAAAAAAGGCCTCCATCTTTTGGGCTATAAAAGTGTTTATGTCCCTCTATTACTCTCTCTCAATTTAACCATTCCTATAGAAACAAAATAACAATGGTCTTCATAAAGTATACTAACAACAACATAAGTATCCAATCCTAAAAGTTTAGGGAAATGAACTACATCTTTTTAAGAACAATTTGATTAAAATTAATTTGGCTGAACTGTGTGCTTTCATGATTTAGGAAAATGAATACGGAAAACAATTTTTTCTTCCTTTCTAGCTCCTCTCCTCAAATATGTAATTAAAAATTGTAGGCCCCCTTAAGTCCATATCTGTTCTGGAGGCCTTGTTAGGGTAAGATTCCAACAAGCAACATGGCCTTGAAACAGTGGCATAGGACAGCAGAAATGGTGACAAACCACACAAAGATGGCTTGAAACAGAGGCAGCAACAGAGAAAAGCGCATATACATTAAAACGACAGGTTTGAAATTCAGACTAAGGGCATACGTAACCCCCTAGGAGAGCCTCATTCTAAAATTGACTTATTTTTTACAGGGACCTTCAAAACGTTATCATTTACCTGACAAGACCAGCACAGATAATGCTGACAAAGCCATCCTACAGAGACATGGATTGCTGTGAACACTTTGCTTAACAAAGCCAAACAGAAATGAGACTGCTCCAAAAGATACTGCCTCATCGGCTAGAGCCTCTGTAGGAATAAAAACCAAGCATTATGCATCAAAATATAATGTTATGATCAGAGTGTTGGTGGGCAAGTGGTGAAAAATGGGACAGGAATAAGAGGAGAGTGGTGAATAGGGGTATGCAAATCCACCGATCCGTTATGATTTATTAAGCAAATCCGCCGTTACAATTTCGCCTGAATCCAAAATCGGGGCAAAAATACTTTTATTACACGCAAAGTCCAAAATCCGGGCCCAGAAAAAGGAAGAATCTGTAATCTGCTGCAATTGCAGGATCCGGAAACCCATTAAAATCTCGCTTTGAATCCAAAATCCGGGCAAAAATATTTTCAAAATCCGCCAATCCATTCGCCTATTCACTCCCCTCTAAGAGGGATATGAAAGAAAACCTGAAAAGGGGTGAAAAATGGAAAAAAGTGGCCAAAGCCCAAACCAGCATGCTTACCGATGCCATCTCATCTATGAGCTCTACGATGACAATGAGCAAACTCTCACAATTTCAAAAAGCCTATTTCTTACACTTTTCCTTGATTTGAGGGAAGGAATTGGCCAGCAGGCCCAGGCATGAGTTAGAAATGCAAGTGTTCCCATAAAAGGTTGGTAGCCATGATGTTACAGTTTGTATGTAACCCCAGACGATATTTAACCTCTCCTTAAGCTTGGATTGTTGGCTACCCTTTTTTTGTTCATTGGATACAGTTAACCATTTTTCCACACTTCCCAAAAATATCTGCAAAATAAACTGTTGGTGAAAACTGAAGTTTTTTCTCCATACCATCATCACTTGCCACGTTCAGCATGGAGCCACATGCAGCTAGCTCTACTCTGTTATCACTTTTCTCATCAAAGCTCTTTTCCAGAACTCCAAGAGTCTTCACAATCTTCTCAGCTCCTTTGTTCTCTAATAACACTGATTTTGCTTGCTCTACAACAAAAAATATCACTTGATATAAACCCTTGGCCATCTGATGGTTTTGCAGAAATATAATGATTTCATATCCCCAAGGAAAATAAAATACACTTGAAGATAAAGTAATGGACTTCTGAGGCAAACCTCCCCCTGTACTGGGAGAGGTTGATGATCACAAATGTTTAGTGGTACATGTAACTCTTATATTTTATAGGAAATTAACTTTGAAGACAAGAAATTGCTTTGTTTTCTAGCCCTAATTACTCATTGGAGACCAAAAAAAATTCTGGATTTAACCCACAAAATGTACACCTACCATTTTCATAGCTGATATTTCCAATGGCTCTTAAAGCTTGCAAAACAACATTTGAATCCTCACTTTCAAGAAGGGATAAGATCGTAGTAATAAGCCCTGCCTTTACACATGGAACTCTGCTCTCCTCTGAAATGAAATCACAAATTTCTACCAAAAGAGAAGTTATTTGTTGACATTTAGCATTAATAAGTGCTATAAAATAATCTGTATGATTAATTATGCATAAATGACTGTTTTCAAAATCTCTTGTGGGGGAGAGAAAACACAAAAATTTGGGTCCGATGGACAACACTAAGGGAGAGAAAAAGAGGATAGCCTGATGGTAGTTGAGGGGTGAAGCAAAATAAGCCTTGCTGTATGCTGTCTATTAGGAAGCACCTGTTGCTTTTCAGTCAAATCTGTCACAGATGAACAATGTGGGGACTCACACTAATTGTCTATGAGGAAGGTCAAACTTGATTTCTGGTTAATTTTGATTTAACTTAGGTTGAATCTCGATTTCTAATGTCTCCTAGCCCTAGAAGACAAAGGAAATTGAGAATCAAACTAGGCTGACAAATTTTAACCTAAGATCAAATTTAACCTGTAATATCAATCCATCTTAAAGAGGTTTCCACCTCATAAAGAGTCCAAAAATTGACCCACAAACAGCAGGGACCAACTTGAGCTTTTCATTTTAGAGAGATACACATTAAAGAGAGTTGACCATAAACATTGATTTGACTGACTTTCAACCTTAGCATGAATACAACATTAATTTGTTTGAAAATTATTTCCTTGGACACATTGCTTGAAATCATGATTAATGCCCTCTAAACCAATAGGTTCTTTGCAACTATAGTCATTCACATGGTACAAAAACGCCATTCAGGAGAGCATGAGAGCAAGTGACGCACTAAGACAAACAAAAGGCTTACATTATTTAAAAATGGTTATTTCCTGTTTTTCCTATCCCAGTGCATCTGTTGCTCTCCAGCATGGCAGTTTTGTGCCATGTGAGGGATCAGCTACAAGGGACTTAAGTACATGAATCTGCGCACCCTTGCACATTCTTGCGCAGCTCACTTCGCTCACCCAAACAAAAGAGCGCGCCTACCCCCACAACTTGTTCTGACCTGCTTTTGCAAGCTCTGCAATCAGCATTAACACTTTAGCTTTGCTCTCAGTTACATCTATTTGCATCAACAGCTGGATGGCCTCAAGAATTTTCTGGATTGTTGCTTCATCAAATTGTTCTAAAATAAAGATAAAAAAGATATAACAAATTTATATACCAACAACTCCTCTTAAAAGATCAACAACATGCAGGAGAGTATTGTGGAGTTTAACTAAAAAAAATGGGGATTCATAGAGCTTAGGGGCAGGGTGCCACGTCCTGTTGGGCCCAAATAAGAGAGTTCCCCTTCCCCCCCCACAGATCATGAAGGACATTCAGTGTGATTTGAATGAAATAAACGAAAATATTATAATTAAAAAAAATAATAAAACAGAGGACATTCTTGGACTTGGTATCTAAGGAAGAAGAACATGGTTGCTTCCAGGAATGTTTACTCAGACATAACTTCGTCATGTATAGTTCTCTATACAATAAAATAATGATCTGAGTTAAGTATGTTATTTCATCTCAATACTGAATTTTCACCACAACAAACTATGTAAATGTTTGAGCTGAGATGAATAATCGGTAAACCTCAATATAAAAAAATAATTCATAAAAGTAACTAAACGTTTACATTTTTGGTGACAAGTACGAGCACTTACAGAAAGTAAATAATCTTAGACTTACTTAATACCGCCCCACCCCTTATATTACTTATACCCCACCCCAAAGTGGCTACAAAAATTTAAGAACTCTACATAATTGATCAACAGAACTGCTTGCCCCTAAATGTTTTCAAATTCAAGCATAAAAACTCCAAAAGTCTGCTTATTATGACGAAAATGGTAAAACAGAAACGTCATAGAAACAATGTCGAGAATTTGGTTTCCCTGAGCCAAATCAATCGATCCCAGAATCAATTCTCGATTTTTATCACATTTTTCGATTTTCGATTTTCCTATGAAAAGCAATCAAAAGGAATATACTTTAAGGTCCTTGAAACTTTCAATAATTTGTCCTAAACAATTTTAAGTTTTATAGATAAGAAATTTAGGCTTACCTTCTTTTCTTTGCAGAGCAGTTATGATTGAATCAGCGGTTCCTAAGTCAACTTCTTTCGTCTGCTCGAAGTTGAGCTTCAACTTCTCGAATAATTCGGACAGTTCTTCCATATTTCGGCCTTTCCTATTTTTTAGCGTAAATTTTCCATATTCAAAGCTCAAATCAAATCAACATATAGGAATATTTAGTAAGCTATTTGCAGTATATTTGTTAGACAGATTGTTAGACGGCATACTCCGGCAATCAGAATATTGTGAAAACTTGAGCCAGCAATCACGCGCGGGCGAGTGCTGTATCCCCCCTCCCCCATCATAAGACGGCGACGGCGACGGCGACGGCGACGGCGACGTTTTTTAAAAAGTGACTTTGCGTGCTTGAAAACTTAGCTTCAGTGTGATAATCCCAACTCACTCACTTTGTCCAATGTAGGCAAACTATCATGGAGTTGAATTCTTGAGAAAGAATTTCAAGTTTAGAGAGAGAAAGAGAAATTGGTCGTCTTATGTTCACGTGGTCGATGAAAGGTGAAATTTGGGAATTCACCCAGTAGTCGTCCAGTGACGGCAAAGAAATGTACAAAAAAGCGTGACGCAAGTGCAAAATTGTTGTTTTGCTTGTCCAAACCTATTGGTTTTTTTACGTTTTAGTTGCCATCGCCGTAGTGACATCTTAACCTCCCTAATCACGCTAGCTACGCAGGCTACTTCGGGAGCAAGTTGAAATTCTGACCCTCCAACGCAAGACATTTAATAAGAAAAGTTTCAGTGGCAAGAATCTCCAGGCAAAGTCAGGGCCCGCGTAGGGGGAAGGGGCTGGGGAAGGGCCAGGACCACCTGACTTTTTGAAAATAAATAAATAGAATTAAATACAGTGCTACGGTGCAACCTCGATATAACGAAGGGCCGAGGGACTGGCAAGATATGTTTGTTATAACGAGGTTCGTTAACTTATAGCGAGGTTCTTTTTCATATTGCCTTATATTTTACTGTTACTGGAGTTTAAAAAAATAGTTTATTAGACCGAGGATTTTGTTACAGAGGTTCCATTGTAATATACATTATTATTCATTCAAAATATTTCCCCAAATCTGATTGGCTAAAAGCACACGCACAATTCACCATAACCAGTTACTGATGCCCAAATTTGGAAGAATTTTGTGTTTCACGAGGAAATGACGTCAAAAATGCAGCCTTCTACAGATTAATGCACCGTTAACCGAGAAGACCTGGGGACGAGTGTCGACCCCCGCACTTTAGAAACTGCCCGCGGGCCCTGAAAGTAGTCTCCCTTGAACACGACGAGACAAAAAGAGCTGCCTGGGAATCCACGCGAAAAGGATCAAACAAAAAACAAAGAGCTCTGAATAGCATGTTACACAGACTACTCCGAAACAAAACAGATTTCCAGAGAATGATTACACTAAGGCTTCAAGTCGGAAGACGGAAAACCAATATTTTTACCCATAACAGTCCGGGTCACAACCAAGAACTATATATGTAGTTTCCTGTAATCTCTTTTTATTATTATTTTTTTAAATTTTTTAAATTTATTTTTTTTTTAAATTTACTAGTGAGCAGCACTTAGTGAACTGTAGCTGTAAAACTTGTTTACTCCCTAGGCGTTTCGTCTAACTTGAACGTAGGCTTCTTCGGGGAGTTTTACATTCAACACTAAACGCCTTATGACTAAAAATAATGATGATCGCAAATATCGAAGGTTTGGCCGGATTTACGAAAGGGAACAGGCGCAGCTGTGAAATTTTTAAGCAAAGCGTGAGAAAATTTTGGGGCCGCGGATTTAGCTTAGGCGTACACTATGTCAAGTCAGAAGACATCCGGTCTCTTCTAGGCCTTCTAGGGGCTTTTTGGCTAAAATAGGAAACCCGATATTCACTTCGGTTTTCCCATCTGATATTGGATGTTAGTCTGTTTTGCCGCAACCAAAAATACAAATCGTTAAAGGAAAAGACTAAAGTATATATATGAATAAGACTAAAAAGAGTAAAAACTATATTGCAATTATAAAATATCCTCACAATGAACATCTACAAACCAATGGCACTTGGTTGCGGAAGGAAGTCTATGGACAGTATTATGATTGACAATCATGAAGTCAGATCCACTGAATGTCTCAAGCTATTAGGTGTCTGTATTGATAACAATCTTCGTTTTGATGAACATATAAGTAGTATCTCTAAGAAGAGCACCCAGCGGGTAGGGGTTCTCATGAGGCTCAGGAACCTTATACCCACACAAACTAAGTTACAGTTATATAAGGCAGCTGTTCTCCCGTATTTAACCTACTGTCACCTTATATGGCATTTTTGCCGTGCTAGTGATTCTAGACGACTAGAGCGTATCCAGGAAAGAGCACTTAGGGCTATATATTGTGATAAACATTCGTCCTATGGTCAATTACTATCTATGGCTGGGATATCTACTCTACACAACCGGCGACTACAGGACATAGCTATTCTCATGTATAAAGTTAAAAACAACATGTGCCCAGCATACATTAGCACTCTCTTTGAACAGCCTGCAATTAAGTATGAACTGCGCAATCATGACTTCACTATACCCAGATTCAACACAGTCTCCTTTGGAAAGCACTCGCTCAGGTATATGGGCCCAAGGGTTTGGAGTTCTGTTCCTAGTAATGTGAAAAAAGCTTCCACGTTGTCCTCCTTCAAATATAACATCAGAAAAGTGGAT